CCTCTCTCCTTTCCCCTTATTTCAAAATGACGAAGGGCCGATGAATAAAAGATAGAGTTTGAGCTAAAGAAGAGAGGGGAAGGGTTTGAGAAGAAATAGAGACGGAAGTAGGCGTGGGCTTTCCCTGCTGTGCAATTTTCTTGATATTGAGGGACTTTTGGCTATTGATTATGAGTGCCGATACCATTCCGACATGGATTTTATCTATCAATGCTCAGACATTCTGCCATAAAACCTTAATTTCAAAGCAAAATTCTCAACAATAACTCTTAAAATTTTAAATATCTAGCAAAATTAAGTAATGTCCAATCAAATGTACAAAATTCAAAAAATCAAAAGAAGCTTCTCACTACAATAAAAATAAAAATTTAAAGAAAAAAAAATATTTTTGCAAACATAAGGCACTCCTTCAGCAATTTCATCTCTGTTATTACTATGCTTGAAAGCATCATTTGAGTGCTCCCACTTACCGATCCGGCAGGGCAGTGCATTTTCTGGCTCCTAAAGAGCAGTGAGAGGAAGATGGGGACTGTTTTAGTAATTTCCAATAACTAATTTTGTATTTTAATTAATTAATTAACTAACTAGTCGGTCCCTTATAATCTATGTATTAAATGAGTCCCTCATTTTCTCCATATCATTTTTTCTAATTAAAAATATAATTTTTTAATATAAAAGATTGCCAAATCAGATTATTAAAATTCCATATAATATTGCTAATAAAGAAATGTGATTTTTCTGAGAGAGTTAAGTGACACATAGGATTGTTGTTGACAAAAAGACTATTTTGGTTCATAAAATGATTTAGAAATAATTTTTTATATTATTTAAATGATTAATTTTATTTATTTATGTAAAATCTGTAATATTAAATGTATTTATATATTTAATGATATACAAAAATTATATAAAAATATTATGTAAAAAAGCTGCCTCTATATTATTACCTATTTTGGTTCTAGAATAAGGAGTTGAGATGGTGGCGGACACAAAAAGAGGGCCAAATTTTAAAAAAATGGAAATGAGAGAAGAAAGCTCTAATAGTTTCAAGTAACCAACAAAACAGAATTTATTAAGGGTTTTTTTTGGGTGTTTAGTGAATATTTTCTCGCCTTTGTGTAGAAAAAAAAAATTAAAAACTCAATTAAAAACAAAAAAAGTTTCAATATTTTTACAATAATAAATTACATCAAATAACAAAAAGAAAAAAAAATATAGTCTAACCACTCAATAATTTATTGTGAATTAAAAGTGAAGTTTTAATTATTGATTTAGTAAAATAACAATTATGCCGTGCATGTGGTTTAAATACTAAATTGATACAGTAAAGAATACAATGTAGAGCCCCTATCTAGCAAATTGGGGAGGACATAAGAAGAGAAGAGAGGGAGACTATGGGCAAAAATGTCTAAAATAAAAGATTGATAACTAGTGATAAAATTTATTATTAAAATTTTCAAAAGTTGGGAGTTACAATGAATTTTTAATTGAATTTTTACAAAAGTTTAGGGGACCCAACGCTCCTGGCCTATACATAGCTACGGCCCTGAGTTTAATATAGGTACAAGAAATGCTGAAAAAAGTTCAGGGAATTACTCCCTCAGTTTCACTTTAATAACTTGATTTGGTTTGTATAACTTATGCCTTTTAATAATCGCTGGGAGTTGTCTAACTTTTACATTTAAGGTATAGGTTGGTTAATGGTATAATAAATATATATTTTTATAATTAATTTATATTAATAATTATAAAAATTAATATATATTTTATTATTATTAATATATAAATATAATTTTAATTCATTAATTAATTAAATTAAAATTAATATTTATATTTTTAATAAAAATTAATTATAAAAAATATATTTATTATATTATTATGCTATACCTAAAGGCATGTAATAGAAAAATATTAGTTGTTTTCGAAAGATTTTTTTGTTTCTTATTATCTGTCATTCTTACTCTTTAATGTATTATTAATTACCTCTTTTCTATGTTTACCCTCCACAAAGTTGCACCTAAGTCCCACCGTTTCTTCTTCTTCTTCCTTATTGGAGGAGAAACAATCCCTAAGAACGCAAGAACCATTAATATATTTTTTAATCACTGTCAGCAATATATGGATCTTGTAATCCACAAAAAAAAGAAAAAATCAATCTTTGCAATCCAATTTTGACCTCTTTCAACCATTGTTGCTTTCGATTAAGCTCCTCTGTTTCTCTACCATCAATCTTTTTTGTATTCAATCGCATGCATGTTTACAAAAGCACTTATTTATTCAATTGGGTCTTTCCTCGAGCACTAATTAGATTTTTTTTTTTCCAAAACTTGAACAAAGTTTCACGATTTGGTTGCTTGATTTGTAGATCTGAGTACTTTTCACATTTGATTTTGTAAGGATGGTAATCTAACTAGCCCATAAATGTAATGAAGGTCCATGAGATCCAAATATAAAAGAGCACATGCATGAGTTACTGTGGACTTCATATACACTCAAATAGATCCAAAGGAACTAATAGGAGTGCAACACGTGACAAGTACTCCCAAGGGATGTATAAATACCCCCAAGGGATTTATAAATACCCCCACACCCCTCAAAGATACGGGACCTTTCCTTGAGCATTTCTCTCTCTATTATACTTCACTCTCTCTAAAGAGCCCTAAGTCTAAACTGTTGCTGACTTAAGCATCGAAGTGTCTATCCTGAGGGTCACCCTTGGACCACCCTCAAGCCTTTGCAGGTTCATTGGATGAGAGGATTCAAACAAAAAAGGCCTTGAAGGTTTTCTGCAATTACATTTGGTGCCGTCTGTGGGAACTCAAATAAAAGGATCTATTTCTATGTTGATCTAGTTGACTAGAGGGAGGAGAAGATGAGTGAAGGCCTTATGGCCTATTCACTTGAGTTGCAGAAGCAGATCTGATGAATTTATAAAATGGGTTTATTCGCCTATGAAAAAGAGAAGCTTTCACAAAAAGACAAACAATGATGTAGCTTTGCACAACTATCAAGGCATGGTACAATGTCAGCAATGAGTATTCAAGAAGCAAAAAAGTGTTAGCAAAACACAAGCTCAAGGCAACTCAGAGGGGTCAAACAAGGGTGAGCACAAGACTAAGAAAGTTCCTAGAAAAATAAGCTCACAAATGAGGTGCCCTCAATGAGACAAGATGAGCTCGAGCTTGATAACGGCAACAAAGCAGTCTCCCAGCTCGACAATGACAAAGCAGTCTCCTAGGTCAACAGCAGCAAAGTAGCCTCCCGGATGAACAACAGCAAACCAATCTCCCAACTCAACAACAACAAAGCAATCTCCTAGATCGGGAGCAGCAAAGCAGCCTCTTAGCTTGGCAGTGATAAACTAGCCTGCCAGCTCGGCAATGACAAAGCAGTCTCCTAGCTCAGTAGCAGCAAAGTAGTCTCTTAGCTAGGCAATGGCAAAGCACTCTCCCAACTCGACAACATGCACCAAGCAAATTTGTAAAAAAAGCTTGTTGAGGAAGACGTCGGCAATCAACAAAATATGGTGGCAGCATTTACTTGCAACAAATTATCAACACTATGAAACCACTAGGATGACACGGGTTCCAACCACAAGCATCCTCCCTGGGCAGTAAACCATTCGAACTTGGCTCTTGCTCTGTGATTATTGGGGAGATAAATCCTAATCTTTTATTATTTTACTTTGTTTTTGATGTTGTTTTATTCTCTTTACTATAAAGCAAGTTGGAATCTTCCTCTCTTTTGAATTTGTTCTTGCACAATCCAAGAGAAAAGTCCCTAACAAGATAGCTTATCAATATGAAAATCCCTCCAATTAGCTGCTAAGGAACCAAAGCCTATGGTTCCGATGATAGAAGAAGACTACGCAGCTATGGTTGGGCTCCATTACTCAAGCTTGATGATGATGAGCTGCAAGCATCTTGCTCAAGCACGAGTTGCAAATTGCAGGAGTTTGATCTGCAAATAGTAGAAGTTTGAGATGCAATAGCATCTTGCTCAAGCTCGAGCTGTGAATTGCAGGAGTCCAATCTACGAATAGTAGAAGTCCGAGATGCGAATTGTAGAAGTCCAAGCTACGAAATGCTGAAGCACAAGGTGTGAAATGCTGAAGCATGAGTTGTGAAATGCTGGAGCATGAGCTGTGAGCTGCCAAGCTAAGTTCAAAAGCACAATGCATGGCTCGAGCACAAGCTACTGAGCTGCAAATATCCTACTCGAGCACGAGCTACAAGGGGTCAACACCCTCAATAATGTGTCGACACCTTTTCCGCATTGTCCTGAAGAAAAGCCAATGTCGAGTTTTTGTCCTTCTCATCAAATTCTATTAATGGTAAAATTACAGTCCCGATCCCTTATGGATTTTACACAATTTAATCTTGAAATTTCATATATTTGCAATTTACTCCTAAAAATTATGACTTCTTCCAACTAAGTTTTTCCTACACAAAGAATGAAAATTATATACAATTAAATAAATTTTCATAAAAATCATCTAAATATCAATAATATCAAAGCATAAATTCTACATTAATATGTATATAAATTTAGCTCATCAGCCATGTATTGTTTTAAAAATTAAAAAAGATGAACTTGCAATCTATTTCCTTTATTTATTTTATGTAGTATACTTTCTTGATTATAAAATTGGATACCTTTGATTTTTCCTTTTTTCAAGTCCTTGTGATGCAGGTTGTCAAGAAAGCAATCGAGCTTCGCAACAAATTAGAGGTTTGGTCCAAGCTTGGTCCAACTTTATATTAAAATTTATTATTAATTGCTTTCTGCATGTTTTGCATTCATTCCACATTTTTTCCATCCATTCTGCACTTGTTTTTGCATTTACAATATTATTTTGCCTTCTCATTTTTTATATATCATAATCAGGCTACTTTGCCCATTTCCACTCATGATTATAAATACATATGTTGCTCTTTTAGAGATGGAAAAGTGTAGGGAACAGGTTAATTATGTCGGCCTACTTGGAAAATATGAAGCTTCCCGCAAACAATTCACTATCAAAAACTCAGAACCTTCTCTGAATAAATTTAGGCAAGAAGTGGGAGGAATAAGGAGTTTTATGCCAAAGTTAAAGGAACAAGGCTGTGAATAACTTGAGCCTGCCCTAAGACCTCGTCAATAGATGAGCAGGGCTGAGCAAGACCTAAATCTTCGTGTGATGAGCTCTTACATTAGAGTTCAAAATGACAAACTCACAAAACTCTAATGAAGAATGACAAGCTCACAGAGCTCCAATGATGAGCTACGAACTCAAAACTCATATGAAGAATGACAAGCTAAGAGAGTAGATGGAGAATCACGACTTGAGACATTACATGGGTGGGCTCTAGAGAAATTGAGCAAAGCACTAGTGAAATTGAGCAAGAACCATGCTTGCTTTCAAGCAAGACCCTTAAGTGGTGAGCTTTGACCTCACATATTGCAATGAAATCCCT